GGAAAGTACTATTACAATAATTGCAGGTCCCTTATAAGATAATTTTGGTATTTTATAGAGTAAAATAGTTTATGATTTATCTATATTTTTACCAAATCAATACGTCTCGTTTATCAATTTAAAATTGCACAAAAGTTTTATTTACTAGTGAGTGTGTATCACTACACATAAGGTCTATTTAAAAAATCTTTATTAAACAGCATCATACAAAAAAAACCCAGCACAGGGGGGTCGCGGCACAGTTGTGACGTGGTATAGTTGGATCAAGTATAATGATATCTGACAGTGATTAAAATCACTATCAAAAATAAACGCTTCGATGCAAATCTTTAGATAGTGTTTAATTTTAAAAAAATTGGTGTTTTATTCCAAAAGCTACTTGATTTGCTGGTTCCTTAATATCTCGATTAAGATAAAGTATGTCGAATGAAAAAGGGTTTATTAAAAAAAATTATTTCTCATAAAAAAATTGTGTGGATCCATAAACTTTTCAATAAGTTATAGCATTATAAAGTTAAATATAATATGAATAATAAAATCGAGAATTATCACACGAAAATAGCATTCGGTAGCCATTTTCGCCGCGAAGAAAAGTCCAGAGGTCAAATTTTTTTTTTTCAAATTAAAGTATATTACATTAGCTTTAATTTAAGATATATATAAAAGTGTCAGACCTTCCGGAACATTTTCAAAAGTTATGTTGAAAAAGTAAATTTTTTGTGAAAAAGTTGTCATTTTAAATCCCCCCCTGTGGGCAGGTTAAGTGTCAGATTTACAAAAAAAATATACCAAATGATAAGTAAAGACATCAAACATCTATATAAAAAAGAATTATATTGATATGTTCATTTTTGAAAAAGTTAGAGGATTATTAAGTTAAAAATATAAAAAAAAATTATTTTACAAAAATCGTAATTTTTTATTAACTTTGATGTCAACTTTCACCACGAAGACAAGTCCAGAGGTCAAATTTTTTTTTTTCAAATTAAAGGATATTACATAAGCTTTAATTTAAGATATATATAAAAGTGTCAGACCTTCCGGAACATTTTCAAAAGTTATGTTGAAAAAGTT